CGATCATCAGATATTGTCCAAGATTAARCTTCAGGGTGGATATAGCTCGCTAGAAGCCTCACACCGATGACCTAGTTGATGTCATCATTTACCCAGAATACTTTGCTTGTAAAGAAAATGGCTCCGTCCGTGTTAAAATATATTTTAAAAATTACAAATCTAAACATCCTACAGTGTTTTTACAGTCTTTATTTTACAGTTAAAATAAATGTTTATCAAATAAAGTTTAATGTTACAACTAACTGTGGATCCCTTTAAAAATAATTTTCCTCTAAATTTTACAATTTCTTAGTTTGGATTGATGGGATTTGGCAATTGTTGCATTATGTTTTTATTTACATTTTACACAAAACCCTCATATTTTTTGGAATCGGGATTGCAAAAGAATTATTGTATCTAATAGTGATTGCAAAATCAAACTGATCTAACCACTAAGTGTGAGAGGGACTGATTTTTAATGCAAAAAATGTGAAACATTTGCCTTGAAATGTAAGTTTTTCTTGCTGTTCTAAATTTCACAGAAATCTTTTCAGAGAAGCAAAAGAAGCGAACTGCTTCATCAGAGCGCAGGAATTAAAAAAGTTGAAATGAATAATAACAAAAAGAAACCAGACAGCCTTTGTTCTGGTGTCAGAAGCTTGATTAGCTTATTTCAGACACTTTGGCCCCACGCTGTAATGTTTGACCACCTCCTCCCCTCCGTCCCTCAGAATCTTCTACAAGGTGAAGAGTCGCAGCGCCCACATGAAGAGCCACGCTGAGCAGGAGAAGAAGGCGGCAGCCCTGCGACAGAAGGAGGCCGAGGAGCGAGCGGCGGCGAAGGCAGCCGCCGAGGCCGCCGCCATGGTGGCGGCGCGGCAGCCGAACGGGACACGACAGCCGGGCAGCGACAGCACCAACGACGACTCGTCGGACAGAGAGGACGAGGACGACGAGGAGTGGAGGAACTAAACTCTTGACTGCACCACACAGGCTCGCTTCACCTGCAGATGTCTGCTTTTACTTTAAATAAAAGAACTGAACCTCCAGTGGACTTCATTTAGCAGAAGCCTCACTGCTGGCTGCGTTCAGGGAGAGGTTTTGGTTTTCCCTGCGAAAGCTGGGATTGTGTGTTTGGGTTTGTGGGGCAGTGTGTGTGTCTGTCGCTCTCACACACAGGGCTCGGTGAAGTCAAAGCCACGTCGCCGCTTGACTTTGTCCTGTTTTCCTTCCTCAGCACTTTGAGTCCTTGCTTCATTCCAGCAGCTGCGTTGGAGACGTTGTTTTTTACGGTTTTTGAGCACATTTGCTGAACTTCCACCAACTGCAGACGCTGATCTCTGGAGGAGGACTGATGGACGGCCCGTCCAACCTGTTGCACCTGTGAACCCCCCCACCCCTCAGCTGCCAAAAGCTTTTACAGAAGCATGAAACTGGTTCTCTGCGTTCATTTGGGCTTCAGTTTTGTGAATATTTACTTTTTCTAGTCCCAGTTTGTTGGTCACTGTCAATGCCTTGGATGTTATGATGGTTTTTATTTCAGAATGACAATCAATTTTACACTGTTTGTGTATTATTATTATTATTTTTTATGAATATGTACATAAAAAGGTTGCTTTTTTTGTCTGTGTAGTTACATACAGTTGCTTTTTTGTGAATATTGTTGGTTATTCTTATAATTATTATTATATCTTGGTTTTGGCTGCAATTTTATTAAGCGCTTTTTTCTGTTGTTTTACGTTTAATTTAATTTAAGCAAAAAAAAACTTAAGTAATGCTGCCTGTTTATAACTGTGAGTGTTTTTGTTTAGTTTTTTTTGGGAGCCTGAAATGAAGAAAAGACAGAAACATATGTGCAATAGAACAAGTTGAACCCCCACCCACCCCTCCTTTGTAAAAATATTTTTCACCTGAGTGTTCGGACCCCCTGTGTTAAACTCATACACAGCTGCTCTGAAGGCCTTCTTGTAACTGAAAGGAGGTTCTGACTCAGACTGATCCAGTTCCAGACAACCTTTTCATTTCAGTAACTTCAGTCTGAATTGATAGTTTTTTACAGCGTGCGCTTTCTGCTTTTGTTAGAAAACTTTGGATTGATACCAAGGATCATTTGCTACAAACTAAACATCACTTTTTTAAATCAGTTTGAGGCTTTTATTTTGAAATGTAAACATTCTCTTATTTTCTGTCAGGAAATCGTTTCAGCCGATCAACTGCCAGGCTTTTAGAGAGGCAGAAACATTATCTGGCCCTGGATTTTCCAGGTTTAAAACAAAACTTTTGATCTTTTAAACTAAACATAAGCTTCTACTTTCTACCTCAGCCTCGTAGCCCTGACGCTTCTGCCAGACTGTTATCAGAGGGACTTTTCTCAAACCATTTTCAGGCTGTAAGCGTAAGATTTCTGAGCACTGGCTTGAGACGATCTGTTTACATTTATCAAGATTATTATTTTTAAAGATTTGAAAGGATTAAGTCTTCCCACGTCTCTGCCACGTTTTTTTGTTTTCCACACCCTCCAAAGCCTGCTGTTGATGAATAATTTTCTGACAGATGTGGATGTTTGCTCTGCAAACCAGTCATCAGTTTCCGATCAGAGCACTAAAGTGTAGAAGAAAGCTGGATTTCTGTTGCAGCGCCGCTGTGTTGTGCAGAAACCCGGGCGCCGTGGTGCTGCTGCCTCTGAAGGGCAGCGGGACACAAAAATACATCGTTTGTTCTTTTGTGTGGCTTTTAAAGCTCCAGCGTGAAGTCGACATTTCCATCCCTGTGACGCCGATGGGGTCGTCCTGTTTACCTTGTTGCTGGTTGGAGAGCTGGACCACAGAAACTGGTCCTGCTCCCCACGTTAAACCCTGCAGCCCAGCAACACTGGGGTAAAGGTTTTACTTTTTAAAGAACAAACCATGAGTGGGGGCGGTGGGGGGTCGATTTGGCTCCAGTTGCTCCACAAGTTAAACCCGAGTCTATGCACAGACTGTTGAGTGTGTGTGTGTGTGTGTGTGTGTGTGTGTGAGAGAGAGAGGTCTTTAACCGTATACCAGGAGAAAGATGTTTTGCAGACTGTTCACCTGTTTTATATGTTAAGTTATATTTCCCTTCTTTCATTATTATTATTATTATTATTTTTAAATTCAGGCTCGTCTCGAGGGGTCATGTTTCTGGGGTCTCCAAAAATTTCAAGTTTTAAAACTACGGCTAAAAACACTTTCAGCTGGAACCGTTTCACATTTCATCCAGACGATTAAGGGAAACCGAAGCGGGGGAGGACAAAAGGTTTTATTTAGCTAAAGATTAGAAGTATATATACCAGAATGGAATTCTATGTTTGCAAACTTTCTATGCTATTTTCATACGAGGTTCACACTAACGTTGAAAATCCGAAAGGACTCTCAAGTGCTTTTTACTATAGTGTAACTTATTTGTTCTGATTTGATTCTTACCACCCGTGTTTTTAGTAAGGATTTATCCAAGCACTGTATAATAAAGGTTTAAAACATCCTGCGGCCTCTGACTGCGTTTGTCTGGTTCAGCATGAAAACAGACCTGTGTGCAGTGACAGGTGATGGTGCTGCAAACTGTGATCCACTAGAGGGCAGTGTTGTTGCAGCGTTTCACAGAAGAGGTTGTGGCTTGGTTTTTGTCTGAGGATCCAAATTTTTATTTTATTTAAGAAAATTGTGGAAGAGGATACAATCCGGGTAATAACTGATTTGTTTCTGTTCTTACAACTTGTGTGTCTCACTGCATGTCGTTTTGTTAGAACTATCCAACAGTTGTTCTGCTGTTTATGGTGGATTTGTTGTGATCGTAGTGAGTCCTTCGCAGCTGTGTGTGAGAACTTTGCTTAAACTTAAGCACTTCACCATCAGCAAAATATCTCATTCATCTGTAGATGTACATCCAGTTGTTCATAACATTTGGATCATGTTTGATATTGTTGATTAGCCACCTTGATTATGATTGGCTCCAAAGTTTATTTTTTTATAAGTTTTAATTTCAGTTTATTTACCAAAATACAAGAAGCGGAAGCAATGTACAACATTTATTTAACAAATTACCCTAATCTTTTTCCAACAGCCTTTTTCATAGGTTGAGTATCTGTGCACCATGTAAATTACTTCAATAAAAACAGTTAAGAACAGCCAACCAAAAACAGGTTTGTTAGCAATTTTCACAGTGATATGGTTCATAAAGTGCATTTAATGACTAGTTTAATGTTTTACTTCTATTTTAGTACTGATTAATGATTGGCTCCAAAGGTTAATCAGTTGTACACAGATGTGGATAAAAAAAAACTGATGTGAGTGAAGCCAAAATCTTACAGCGTCCATCAGCTCCAGAACCTTTGGGGATTATTATCAACATACATTTTAATGACTTCCTATTTGGCTTTTTCCCCTGCAAAGCTCTTTCTGGTCTTCTTGCATGGATCTTCTTATTATTTAAACTGAGACATGGTGTGGTCTGAGACCTTTACCTTGAAGTTTGGCTTGAAAGGTTTTGGATGGAGTCTTTGGCTCTTTTCCTTCTTTCCACACTGTCAGTCTGATCTTGTTTCCACATCCTGGGAGGTTGGCACCAGTTCCATGAACTTTAAAGGGCCAATATTATGTGTTTCTCAGGCATACATTTAAATACTATACCATAATAAAGTATCTACTCTCACCGGCCACTTTATTAGGTACACCTGTCCAACTGCTCGTTAACACTTAATTTCTAATCAGCCAATCATATGGCGGCAACTCAGTGCATTTAGGCATGTAGACATGGTCAAGACAATCTCCTGCAGTTCAAACCGAGCATCAGTATGGGGAAGAAAGG